CAAGATACTTTGAATGTTTCATCTGAATGGTAGGTCGTTTGATGCAAACTATTGGTGGTCTGGAGACTAGTTTCACTGTTGTATAATGTGTGTCTCAGAAATGGTGCCGTTGATCCACATGTTTTCTTGGCTCTCCCAGAATTGTCACTTTTTGCACAATTTTGCAAATTTTACACCGAGAAACAAATTTTTTTTAGGATGTGGTCTGATGACAAACTGCCTTGATTTGTTAAAGTTACAGATCATTCATAAATTATGTAACTCTAAAAAGCAGACGACTTGAGACAACGTATTAAAAGGGAGATCATAATTTAGTTTTAGGTAGTGCTGATATTAATTTTTTAAATGTTTCACCGTTTCCTGCAAAAATTCCTTTTATTCAATGTTATACGAAAATATTGACAAATTATATTAAAATAATACAATAAAATAAATAGTCGTCATCATCGTGAATATTTAAGGTACAGGTCTATTGGTCTGTTCCTTTGGTGCAGTCCTTCCCTCTCATTCACTTCTGAGGTTTTCTTCATCTGCCAGGATCTTTTCTGTGCCGTGGTTTGAATTGGAGGGCTTTTCTTGGAAAATTGTCAATCTTCGAACTTCTGGTATGTTCTTGCCGTTTCTTTTGGTAGTTTTCAACTTCTGAGACAATACTTTTAACTTGAAGTGTTTTCCAGATGTTTTCATTTCTTATCTTATCACTCCTTGAAACTTTAAAATTGAATCGATTATTTGAAAAGTCCTTGTTCCAGAGTTTTGAAGGGGGTAAAGGAAAAAAGAAAAAAATATATAGAAAACAAACAAACAAAAAACACTTAATAACATTCACAATTGGCATCCGGGACATTTGTTCTACACGAAAGTGTAGAAGAAGTTGTTATTGATTGCTTAGGTTAGGTACTCTCTAACTTTAAATTCGCATTTTTTGTGATGTGCAGAACCCTTTGGCCCATTTCCTTTATAAAACAATTATGAAATATTTAAAAAAACATTTTTGGCCTTTTGAAACATTATAATCAAGAATAAATATATAATGATGTGAATATGTGCTATGTGTTGCACTATGTGGACATGAAAAATACTCTTTAAATTAATAAAATCAGTAACTACTCATCGCGATTTGGGCCGGAGGCCATGTCAAAACATTTTCGTAGAAATAGAGGGATGTATTTTATTATTTTATTTATCATGTGGGACGTAATTTATTATATTTTGAACATTAGGTTTTTTCTATCTGAACAGCTGAGCCATAAGCTTTCTTCAAAGACAAATGTTCTGAACTTATTCCTTTTTTCTAGTCATTAGAATTTTTAGTTGGCAATGGAACATACACTTTAAGCTGGACAAGTTTCATTTTTACACTGTTCAATAGAGTGAAGGAAAACAAAGAAAATTTGTACTTCAACTCAGTTTATGAAAAAAGGAAACTATTTTCCCTTTTAAAAATCACTGACTCAATTGATCTCATAAATCTCACTTGGGCAGATTTGATATTTGGCTCATTGTTTCAGAATACATGATTCATTACCATATAGTAATGAGGGTTTTGCAACAATATTGTGTAATCAAATTTTTGCCTCAATGTTCATATTTTTCAAGTGTCTTATAATGCAACCGTTTATTTCGTGATACTTAATTTTGATTCCATATCTTCCTTCATTAATGATATTTTTTCCCTAAGTATGTAAATGTTGACACTTGTTCTGTAACCTATCTTATTTTCTATGGTCATTTTGTTCTGCTGCATTCTTTACCTATTAAAGCAGTGGACTTTCTTTTGAGAGTGATATTTTCATTTTTTAATCCTCTGAGTTCATTTAATTTATGCTCTGCTCATTGTAATTCGTCTTCAGATGCTACTAATATTGCGTGGCTATCTGCATATAGCATTGTTTTTAATTTCTAGTCCTGACGCGTAGTATGCCTCCTATTTCCCTCTTCCATGTTTGGTCATGTTGGTAATGTGTAAGATAATTAGTTACAACGCGTAAATTGTTAAAATTATTGGAAATAATGTTTATCAATTGTGTATTAATTAAATCTGTTAGATTACGAAGAAAATATGCAAAACTGTTCTTTAGTAATTCTAGAATTCAATTAAATTGGCGCAGTAGACTCTGCACAGACGTCATTCACGACTGCATGTGCACCATGATTTGCACCTCAAAATCCTTTCCCTAACGCGCCCCTGAACTGAAACTTCGCAACACCCGCACCGTCAAGTATTGAGCATCTCTGGCTACATATTCTGCCCCTGCGATTGTGAAATATGGGAATTATTGCTGCTCTGGACATACGTGCCAGATGATTGAATGTGTATCCCAGTTCTGTGGTTCAAAAATCCTGACACTTTCACTGAAATTCCTGGTACCAATGACCATTGACTTAAATTCTGAAAGTATTCAGATTATAATTCTATTATACTTCGATTTATTTACAATATCCTTAGTGACGTTTTAGCTCCCGATTGAATGACACTATAGCAGCTGATGATCTATCAAAGGACACTAAATAAAAGTATATGCTCTGGGCGCATTGGAATCTCGTTAAACTTAAATCGATATCGGTACATTTTATATCAATAAACTAAATGGAAAACTTGAGATCTATTGTTTTCTGCTATAGCTTGGGCTAGGAACAGGTCATCACCAATAGTTATTTGTAGTATTGGTGTTAGTTTTAAATCGTTGAATAAAAAATATTATACCAATCTTAAATTGTATGTAATTACTCATTGTAGAAATAAAATCCAGTTATTTGAACGTACTAGGATATCTCCAACAGAGAGTATATATTTCCATTCTGGTACATGAGATTTCCATTAAAATAGTGGTAAAAATACCAGGATCGTGGTACGTCTGGCAACACTGCGCAGGAGTGGCGTAGGCCGCCTCCTAAGAACAGAGCGTCGGCAGGGGCGGGGGGACATCGCGACCGTTGGCGTACTACAAGCCGCACGAAAATCATTTTTCATATCTCGATCGCGGACGTTTTTCTTGCATGATTAGTTTAGCTTAGAACTTACCGTATTCAGAATCTGATGACGATCCGCAGGTTTAACTCTTAGACGAGTCACTGTCGGTATCCAGATTAACAATTTGTTCAATGATGTCTGGCACAGTACAATCATGCACAAAATCATTCACGCGTTAATGTTTTAATTTGTTTTGCGCAAATACTGTTTCCGTCAGAAAAATGAAATCACACTTACATTAACTTAAAATGATGTACTTTCATGTGATTTAAAAATTATTTTTGTAGATATATTATTTCAATATTTAAAATATATTTTAATTTTTAAAATGCAATTTTTTACATTAGGTCGACACATTAATTGTAAAAAGTACTCGTGTATTTCTACACTGATGTTGTATAGATCTGACAAATTTCGAAGTGGGACACTGGGAGAGATTGCTCAAGGCAGCAACTGATGTCACTGCAGTCCCTCTGACTGCGAGGTCCTAGATTCGAGTCCCGACGGTGGCAGGATTTTCGACACTAGCTAGGTCGAATGCAGTCGCTGTCTGGAGGAGAATTCTAGCGGCCGGCTGCTCTGATCGGAAGTTTTCCGTGATTTCTCCGATCAACACCAGGCGAGTACCGGGGCAGTACCCTACCAAACGGGCCACGGACCGCACTGCACGGAATACATTGTAGTAACGTGGTCACAATTTGGATTTCTTTACGATTGTATATTGTATTGTACGAATATATTCTCCAAGCGTTATTGCGGCCACATTTTTTCAAACAAATTGTCAACGTTCTGATAAAATGATATATGTTTTTACATCAGTAAAAGTAATATACTTTATAAAGGTATTAACAAACCAAAAAGTACTATCAGTAATGATTCAAAATATATTAACCCAAGTTATCCTAATATTAATCTAATTAATGTAAACCTTATGTAAACTCCAACGCCAACAAACAGCTGTAAGAGCTCGGAGTCGGAACTGCGTATGATCGCAATCGCATTTATTGAACAAATACAGTACATCAGTGATACCTGCACTGCTGATACGTTTCGACAGTGACGACTGCATGCATTCCACCTACAGTGTATTACAAAACCTATTGCCGTGTTGTTTAATTTATTTTCTTTTTTTTTAACAACTTGAAAGAAACAGTTAACAATGGTGTTACAAAATGTTCGTTTAATGCTTCATCCATTGTATTTAAAAATCTGAGAATCGTTTTACCTGAGTTTTCGCACCGCTACTGGCCTTTGGCGGAATATATTAGGAACCAATCTGTTCTTAGCAACTGGCGAAAAATAATGACCGTGGCGCATCTATCAATATATTTATTTTAGACAGCTACTACTAAAAGGTTTCTTTCAAGGGCATTGCGTGGCGTAGTAAAAGTTCAATTTTTACAACTAGTGCATTTTTTGTTAGGTAGTTGTTCTTCAGATTGCTTATCATAGTGTCATGTTTGTATCTCACCAACATTAGCGACCATAGATAGTCATGCACTTGAGGGGGAGAAAAGAATTTCTCCAGGGCTGTCTAGAAACTTGTAACCAAAAAGAATGTATCATGGTTTTCAATAATACATAAGTATTTAAATATTGTTTATTCCTCACCAGAAATACGAATAAGCCTTGATGCTCGCTTGATTTAATTAGCTTTAGACAGCTAATTTTCTTTCTTTGGAATATTGATACCTTAGGGTCATGCCTCTTGAATGCCAAAAAGTTCTGGGTCTATTAATATTTCTGTGAAAATTATTCTTTCTTATATTGACAACAATGTTAGATATCTTCGCTTTGGGTACGTGATCTTTGTTGGATATCTTATCTTTTTCTTTATAAATTATTGTTTATTATGTCGATTTTTGGATTCGCGACATTAAGTCGTTTATAGTAATTTATACTGGTTGTGTGAACCGTACGATTTGCTTTGTGAGGCCTGGGAAATTGTGCTTTCAAATGTCGAAAAGACGTGAAAAGTTCGATATGAATAATGTAACTCATTGTGATGAAGTCTTACGTTTTTTAGATGACTGAAAATTATAGTGAATGTGATGGCATGTCCGAAACATTTGAAACTGAACAAGAGTTAGAAATAGATGATGAACGTGAAGTGACAAATTCTGATGAAGAGGAAGATGTGGGCGATACAGAAGGAGATGATAATATTGCTACAAATGGAATTATGTGGTCAAAATGCACCCCAAAGATGACACGACGTACTGTTCATAACATTATTGCAGTTTCTCGAGGACTTACACAATCAATTAAAATCCAATTAGTGAATGACACCTTCAAAATATTTTTTGACGACACAATTGTAAACGTTCTTGTGAAATATACTAATGGGGGGGGTGCAGTGTATGGAGAACGGAATATCAAAAATCCAACAACTAAACAACAGTGGTTGAAACCAAGTGTGAATGAAATATATTCCTTTTTAGGAATTCTCTTCACTATGGGAGTTTTGAAAGCCAAAAGAGAACCTGTATCGTTTTTGTTGAATACTTATCCCTTGTACAAAACGGACATTTTTCTTGCATCATTGTTCAGAACTCGGATTTTAGCAGTTATCAGAATTGATGACACTTGTACAAGAAATATAAGAGAAAATGATAAATTAGCTGCCATCAGAGAAGTGTTTGCACTATTTGTCGATCGTTGTAAATCCAACTACAATCCAAATTCTTATCTGACAATAGACGAACAGTTGGTCGTTTCGTGGCTGTTGCCCTTTATTTATATGAAGTTGCCTTTTGTTTATATGAAATCCACACCTGCCACAGTATAAAAGTATGGGCAAAGGTTGATGTAAAATCTACGTATGCAATGCATTTACTGGTGTATAGGGGAAAAGATGGGAATATTTCTGAGAAAAATAAAGGGCAGCCGGGATCATGCCGGGAAGCCAGTCAGGCGCTGAGAGCTTGTCCCGAGTGCGGCGGTGTCCCACTGGTGGGAGACACCTGGTTGGGAAAATTCAGTAGAATTGTAAGTCGGCGCCGGTTCTCATCCAGCGGGGAAAGATCACCCCACCGCCCGATGAAAATATATTCACTACACTTACGGTACTTACGACCCTAGCAGTTGACGCGTGGAATCACTAGTAAATCAATCAACCTGAAACAAATATTGTTATATAGCAAATTTTAATTAATATTCGCGTCCGAAAATCAAAAGTACATAGTATACTCTCATCTCCACGGTTCCCGGGTTTCTTTTACATGAAGCTTGGCAGAAACTGTAGGTTTTGAAAAATGGCCCCAATTTTTTTTCAGACAATATAAGACTTATAACGATGACGCATTACCGTTTTTCGTTTAATTTGCTGAATGTTTGATGTTGGCGAATGTATAGATTTATATTTATTCAGTAAAAAAAACACAGTAAAAATTGTATGTTACGTAGGGGAGAATTATCTGCGCACTGTTTAACACTTTTTTGGTGTCTTTCTATATCTACAATATTGATTTTTTCTGAATAAATGTCTACTTCAAAATTTTATCTTGGTTGGTTTACTTTATTGGTTTACTCTTAATTTTGCGTAAATTGTTGGCATTTTTATATATACGATTTTCTCAAAAACTGTTGCAACCTTTGTAATTTTCTCTTTGACTCTGCGAAGTACGTAATTTTCGAAAATTGTAAAAGTAAAAGTACAAGTACGCAAGGTAATTTGTGCTGTTGTAGCACCACTTGCCCTTCCTAACTGACATTCTCTGTATTCTGATCTTCCATTCGTGTGTATTTAACTGGAATTTGCGTGGGAAGCCATTTTATTATTGCATTTTGTATTTTAAGTGGCAGAGGCATCAGTGATCTTGGAAGTTTGAAGATTTTTGCTTGGGATTTGTTCCAATTTATTTTGATTCTCCACTATTATGACCAAGTGATGTAAGTTTTTAAGTCGTTCTGTAGGTTATCGTATTCACCAAGTATATCCTCGTGAGATGTGAATAAAGCAGTATCATTTACGAGAGGGATTTGTCAATCGTCTAGCTTTGGAATATTCGATAAGTATGTACTGAAGAGTGAAGGAGAGACGCATGACCCTTGAGGAACACCACTAGTTTGATATTAACTAGAAATCGTAGAATTTATTCTCAAGAAAGGAATATCTAAAGGAACATTACCGATAATTTTGTGAAGGTAGATGGTGTACCTAGACGCTGTAGTTTAAATAATCCGGAGTGCGAAATTTTGTCCCTCGTCTACATCAAGAAATATTGCTACTGAATGTTTGTGATGAAAAGCATTGGCCATATACTCTGAATGTCTCAGGAGTTCGTGCATTTGTTTCTGAATCCAAGTGGTGCCTTAGGTAAAGCTTTTATTGGTTATATATTTGTTTAATCGTATATAAATTAGTTTCTCGAATAATTTGCCGAGGTTGGGAAGCTTATTGGTTTATAATTGGCTAGATTCTATGGGTATTTTCTTGGCTTATTGAATTGATGACTAAAAGCCGTTGTCCAATCTTTAGGAAAAATGACCCAGTCTCAATGCCGAATTGTAAATGTCGGTTACAGCCGCGGCTGCCTTCTTTGTTAATGTTTTAAGTATTTTATTGTTAGTGTATCCCTTCGACTTTCTAGATGTCAATTGTTTGTTAGTTTTTACTTTCTTGTATACGTACGTATATACATAGTGTAGAGAAAAGTCGATTTAGAGATTTCAACGGAAATACGTGTTTTGGGGTCACCTGATACCGAAAAAGTGTTTTTTTTTTTTTTTTTCAGAACGTCCTTCCGTCTGTCGTTTGTGAACACTAGCGCCTAACTGCGTAAGATTTTTCCAAACTCAATACTCCTCCGTCAATTGGACCAAACTCGAAGATCTGCGATTTTGAGTGACATTCTTTAATTTTTGGGCGACTTTACAGGAAGCGTCGGAGACATTTTCAAACATTTTCTCAAATCAAATATTTTTTCGTAATTCTGTTTTATTAGTATATTTGCGTAACGCAACCCAACAGAGGAATGAAATGGCAAACTTAATGGCTGAAGGCCGTTAAGGAACAACAAGATATTTTCTTCTACATAACAACTACGTTGTTATGAGTCAGCTGTATATAAAAAATCTGCTCCGGGTTACAACCAGCTACCTGGAACCGATCTTGTGACTCGCTGCCTCTACAACACTTGGCGCAGAATGTGGGCTGTTCCAAATAAAGCAATTTCTTGCACGTCCCAATCTATTGAATGACTTGGGAGTTTAGCGAAGTTGTTACATAAATTTTGCGGAACAAATCCCAGAGATCGGATGACTATCGGTACGACCTGTGTTTTTTCGCCCCACATTCGGCTGATATCGATTTCCAAACACTTGTATTTAAGACGGTTCTCTGCCTCCTTGGTTTCGTTTTGATCGCAAGGCACATCTACAAGTAGGTACGTTTTTTTCCTAATTCAGGATAAAAATATCCGGTTTGTTTGCTTCTACCGTGCGATCAGTTTGAATTTGATCGTACAACATTGTGTAGTGTTAAACAGATGGCCAAAACTTCGAGGCCGGTGCAGATCTGCCAGTGTAGATAACTACGCACCCTGTTGTGTCCTTTCAAGTATTCGGTCTTTGCTAAAATTGGACAAGCTGAGACGATATGATGAATGGTTTCAACTTGTTCCTAGCAGATGAGGCATTTATCATCTTGGGATGTTTTGAGAACCGCTTTATCATGATGTTCTCAACGCCTGTTCCTGAGCAGCTATGACAAGTGCTTTCGATTCTGGCTTCATTCTTCCCCTTTTAAGCCACATAAATAATTGATATTTATTGATCCGCACCTTGTCAATTGTTTTTAGATATTCTCCATGGAGTACTTTGTCTTTCCACGATTTCTTTAACATTTTCTCTCTTATTTCATGTTTAGTAACATCAGAAGTTCAATATCTGTGTTACGCTACGTGTCTTCCATAATTTTCTTTCCAATGAATCTTGCTACACTAACAATGCATGTTTCTCTTTCTTCGGTCCGATTTCATGACCTGCCTTATTAGAGGGTTATCTTGACTGACTACATACTTTCCCATCCCGACTATTGCATTGTGTCAGGAGGCTTCAATTTGTTTGAGGCCTCTTCCTCCTTCCTTACGTGACATAAGTCTATGTACGTCGAGGGGGTGACATGATGCGTAGTTAGCAGTTTTCTGGTTTTTCGATCCATGATCCGAATTTCTTGCTCAGTCCAGTCCACGACTCCGAAACTACTCGACTACAGGCCCCGCCAAACTAGCAATTGCCGATATTTTATTCCTGGAGTTCACAGCGGACTGCAGGACGAGTCCCACTCAATAATACTCCCTACGATTTCTCTCTTTCATTGTGTCGTTTGAAGTCTCACATTCACCAATGCGCCGATATTTGTAAGTTTTACTTGGCTCAAGATCTTGAATCATAGTGTGCGTATCATCTTTATTGCTCTCTGACATTGCTTTGCCTCTCTTTAAATTGATTTTTGCACACTTGTCAAGACCGAAGTTCATGCAGATGTCAGGGCTAAAGTTATGCGACACGAGAGACAGCATTTGGAAAAAAATCGCTTCATTCTTAGCAAGCACTTTAAGATCGTCCATGTAAAACAAATGTGATACTGGTCTTTCATCACCATGGATTGTAACCAAAGTCAGCTTACGACAACTGTCTAGATAGTGGGATCAAATTAATGCGAAACAAGAGGGGGATAGCGAATCTCTTTGAAAACTACCTCTGTTGAACTGAATTCTTATTGTTTATACTGCTTCCTTTCCGCTGTGTATTGGTTACCTGGTAGTCAGCGACTTCATTAACAGCCTTTGCTAGTTGAGAATATATTGCTGTTAATTTCTTAATCCAATAATCCTAGATTTTGTCAATTTCGGTGAGTTACCAATTTTTATCCTGTTCTTAATTGCTTTGAAAAAGTCCTCTTTCGAGCATTCGTGAACATGTTCCACTGTTTCCACGAGTTCATGTGCAGCATCAACTTCAAATTGAAGCCAAAATGCGTCTTTGTTGTAGAATCTGCTTTCCTCCCAGATTCCTGCCCAAAGTGCTTCGACGTAATCTTTTGAAGGTGTAACAGCATAGCCATTCGGTTTTTGCGTCAGATTGCGACAGAACCTCATCGCGACTGTTTCAAACAACCGATTCTAGATTTTCTCTTTTAGCTTCTCAGCTAACATTAGCCCGCTTGTGCCATTTTCAATTTAGCAGTTTTGTTCAACACAACGAATATTTTTCGTT